GGCTGTGGGAAGTGGCGGCCAATATGTCCAGCAGCCCGCGCCGCTTTCTGTTGCCCCCATTGGCCAGGCACAGCAAACCGTGGCCAGTGGGAGGAGTCCCAAATTTGGGAAACACTGCTATAGGGTTACAGTAGGGAAGAGACTTAGTAATAAAATGTCTACAGAATTTGAGGACAATATTATGGGAGTAGTCAGTGGATTTTCCCATTAAAGAGGAGGAAGATTGAGAACTCATGCAGCTGGGGCCTTCTTTCATTCTCTAGGTCAATCATGGTGTTTCCCAAAATTCTCAGTCAACATGAAGCAACTTATAATGAACATCGCATGGCTGTTAGAGCACAAGCAATAAATCTCACTGAATGAGGTGGTGTCTTTGTGACAGGAGGAGGAGTTTGGAGGGCCAGTGGCTTCAGGTTTTAGTAGCACAACCCTATCAAAATGTAAAGCAGAGAATTCTGAAGAGGACTGAGAAGGATGGTAATTTGTGCTCAGCTATTGAAGCTGATAGGCAATGGAGAGATGTACAAATGAATTGGCTCCCATGTTCATTTTGTAGGTGACGGGCAGAGAAGTTTTAGACTGGAAGGTCAGAGCTTCCATGTCTGGTAGAGTTCATCTTCTGCTGGATCACTGCAGTCAGGAAACACTCCTTACTACCTGATAAAAAGATTTTGAAGAGCTAATTTGTTCTTTTGGAATGCATCAGCTTGCACAAAAAGATGTGTGTGTTTTACATAAAGGCTTCTAGGAAGGCAATACCTTCAAATCCCCTTAAAGCATGTTTTCTGTTTTACATTCTTCTGCAATTATTTAATTGGATGAATGGTCTGTGGGGCCTGTAAGTTGGATGGAGAGAACAGCCCGGCAAAATAAAAAATACATAAAAAAACCTTGTGCAGTTTCACATGACATTAGAATAAATTGAACATAAAAAAAAAGCCTATTTCAAGAATGCCCATGAATGTTTTAGTAGAATTCACTTCAAACCTGGTATGTCCTACATGAGTCTCTTTCCCTTATGGGAAAGCAATATACTTGAAGTTGACTAAGTACAGATCTTTTTCATAAGTATTTAAAGGAATAGGCATTGGTAATACAACAACACTGTTGTTCTGAACACAGAATAGCAATATAGTACCATAAGGCTAATTAACATCCTGTAGTCCCATTGCATTCCCTGAAGAGAATCATGGTTTTAAATGATAAGCACATATATTCAGACATTATTAATCTAGGCAAGTACCTGTAGTGCAGTAAAGCATACTTCCAGTTATGGAGTAACTGGAAGAATACAAATTTCATACAGGGAAGTACATTTTAGTTAAAATACATGGTTCACTGCACTTAGTTAAACTGATGTATTCACTCAACTTTAGAAGGGGACAACATAGTGTGTAATATTTGTAACTTTGTGTATGTAGTTTCCTGTATTTTAAGAATTTTTGATTTAAGATTGACCTACATTTTGGAAGTGTTCTTGGGGCACTGCTTGGTGATTCATCCATTATGGGGAAAGTCCTGTAGAAATTATGAAGATTAAAACCTATAGGTGTCTATAGAAAAGACAATAGATGTAAATAGAATATTCTATCCTTTCTGTAGTTTCTGCCCCCAAACTTCCTAAAATTCTGTAGAGATGTCTGGACATGGAGAGTGAACTTCTCTTTATATGGTCCCCCATCCAAAGTCAGGATCATGTGACAGGGTCAGGCCAGATGGCTGCAAAAGAGTGGTCGAAGGTAGATACATTAGTTCCAGGTTAATCAGGTCCCTTTTCCCTGGGTAAAATAACAGGGACTATTCCAGAACACTCAGGAACTTTCTAGAACTAATTAAGGCAGGCAGGCTAATTCAGACACCTGTAGCCAATTGGGAAGCTACTAGAATTAATTAAGGCTAATCAGGACATCTAGTTTAAAAAGGCTCTCACTCCAGTTAGTGAGGGACACGCAAGGAGCTGAGAGTGAGAGGGCATGTGGCTGGAGGACTGAGGAGTACAAACGCTATCTAGCATCAGGAGGAAGGTCCTGTGGTGAGGATACAGAGGGTGTTGGGAGGAGGCCATGGAGAAGTAGCCCAGGGAGTTGTAGCTGTCACACAGGTGTTACACAAAACACTCTAGACAGCTGTGATCCACAGGGCCCTGGGCTGGAACCCAGAGTAGGGGGCGGGTCCGGGTTCCCCCCATCCTCCCAACTCCCTATTGGATACAGGAGGAGTTGACTTGGACTGTGGGTCCCACCAGAGGGGAAGGTCCCCGGCCTGTCCCCCGACCCACTAGGTAGACCAGCAGAGACTGTGGGGATTGTTCTCCTTTCTTTTCCCCATGCTGGCCAGTGATGAGGTTATCTGAGTGAATGGCAGATTTGAGCCACGAAAGTGGCCAAACTGAGGGCTACTGTGAATCTCTGAGGCGAGCAAAATCTGCCAATAAGTGAAGGACCCACCAAGGTAGAGGAGGAACTTTGTCACCATAGATAGAGGCACACTACTGGGTTGTTGTGAGCACTTGTCCCCTGGAGTGGGACAATGCCTTTCCTTTTGTCAGTCATTGTACAGTTGTTAGGTACCTATGGATTTTGATTATTGCAAACCAGGGCCAGAATTGAACACTGACCTAGAGTTTCAAGTGTCTCCAAATCCCAGCTAACCTCCTGAGCCATTTATGATTTTACCCAAAACTAGCCAAGAGGATTTTTGCTCAAAATATGTAAGGAAACAAGTGACTACCCTAGTGTGCATGCGGTGCATGTGTGTGTATCCCACATTATAATGTAAAGATCTATTATAACAACATATTCCCCTGCCCCAGCCTTGTGTATTAGAATTGCAGAGGCTGGTGATACAAGTTTCTGGATAACTCCTGAGGACTGGCCACACAGTATTTGCAGCTTTTGCAGTTAACCTTCAGAAGCTTCTCTTTACACTTCCGTTGCTTAGGGATTATATTTCTCTATCATTTGAACTGTTTATCAGTTTGCCCATTTTTTTTCATAGAGGAGTACCCTGCATTTATGTTGGGTTATAAAATGATCACTTTTAGTTCATAGGGGTTCTACCAGAAAAAGCAATGGAGAAAAGCAGAAATCCACATGTCTGAGTGATTTGTTCTTGATTATGGAGAGGAATTTGTGTGAACTCAGGGAAGAACAACATTGGCTGAAGAAGATATTATTAAGGAGTTTGACCCAAATATTTTAAATGGGGAAAAACACAGAATAATTTAATATGTCTCAGAAATTTACTCAAGTTTGTCAGACCACCACAAATGTCAACGGAACGCACAATGGTATGGATGGGATCCTGGGAGAAGAAATGCATTGGCAAACTGCTATAAAACATTGATAGACTTGTGGAGTCATGGTTCAAACCTCTGAAGTTGGGCAGATCACAACTTAAAAGTTTGAGAGGGTCTGTAGCAATGGAGACAAAATATTTATGTGGTGCATTGTTTTTTGCTTTGCAAATATTTCACAATGCCAAAGAGGATGAGAAGTCTCACTGAGCTACGAGGGACAGATTACATTAAAACATCTCTAGTTAAGCAAACAAACAAATTATTACCACCCAGTATAAGAAACTATCTGCTAAATTACAGCTCATGGAAGACTTAACACATGCTGGAAGATCCTCAGTGGGTGTAAACTGTCATATCTTCACTGAAGTCAATGCAACTATGATGATTTATGCCTGCTATAGATCTGCCCTCTTGGCAAGAACTTCATAATATGTCTGCGCTAAAACTCACTAAATTCAGGGCCAAAAATTCCATTGACTTTAATGGAGCAGGATCAAGCCCACTGAGATGCATATTACTTCTACAAGGCACAAAAATCCACTCAAATACCCTGTCAGTTTAGCTTTATCTTCTTTATAATCATCACCAGTAGAAGATTTAAAATTTCTCCCTCCACTAAAAAACAACTACTCAGCAAATGAAAAAGTTCCCCAAAAGCTGCAAATGTCTTTGTAGTATGTGAAACTTCTTCTGTTTCTTTAACCAAATTAGTCATTAGTTTTTAAATATTACTTTTGCTTTTCCCATTGAGTTAACAGACTTAATGTAATTTGTTCTATTGCTCTGAAGGCTAAAGGATTTTTATAACAAAACATGGAAGAGTGAAAAAGTAATATTTTATTAGACATAAAAAAAATTCATGTGTTTTGAATTATGTGCATAATGTTTCCTATGCCTTCTTCGCTACATTTAAGAGATTCTTCAGAAGGCTAAAAGTGGAGAACAGCCTTTATTGCAGGGATCACTGGTACTAGATGGTCATAAGAACAAGTATTACCACCTCTTTCACGTCCTGTTTTCTGTACAGCAGATCTTAGTATTTTGCACTTTAAGGGAAAAAATAGGCTTAGGTTTCATAGCTGGTTGTCCATAGTGTTCAGCACTATATCTTGCCTTTCCCACACAGCCAAATTGTATTGGTCTGGATGCACTGGTAGGTGTGAAAACAACATGTGTTGTTTACCAACCTGGGTCCAGGTTTTTCACTGCTCTTTTGTTGTTATTCTTATTTATTACATCCTTCTGATGCCAATGTTGGTGCACAGGGTAGAAATTAGTCTTTTCCATTCCTCTCTGTCATTAGCTGCTGCTTCCACCTGCTCTGTGGTGTTGATATTGACTGTTCTTCCCTGACTGCTAAGGCTTCTTCTTAAGGTTTCTCTTTGGCACCCTCATTTCCTCACACCAGTTGGTTTCCACCTGCAGCTTCGTGTGGGAATCTGTGTATCGGCACCCAGAGTATTGGCCCCAAAGATGTCCAAAGCTTCCTTCTAATTTTCATGGAGGGAAGCTGCTGGTTCATAATATCTCAGATCTCTTCAATGAAATGTCTTGAACTAATGCCCAGAAGCCTTCACAGGGTCTTTGTTTCAAAGGCATCTAGATCTCCAGATCTTGTAGTCTTATGTTAGTACTGAGATTACATTTGAGTTGAAAATTCTCAGGTTTTTTTGGTATTAATATCTTTGATTTGATGTTGCAGAGTTTAGTGAAAGCTGTGGATGCCTTCCCTATCCCTGATGTCACTTCTTGCTTGAAAACTCTGTTGGTTAGTATGGTGCTGCCCAGGTAAATGAACTGTCTCACTTTTTGTCTTTGATGTTTTTGTCTTCTAATATGATGATACAGCTTGATGGCTGGATATTTGTTTTGGAGTAACTGATTTGTGAGCCCTACTTGGCCTGCTGCTGTTGCCATGGTGTCTGTCTTTGTAGCCTTTTCAGCAGTGTTGCTCAATAGCATGGTGACATCGTCAAAGTCTAGTTCTTTGAGGTACTTGCGGACTGCTCATGTTATGACAGTGTTTGGCATTGCCACAGAATGTATAACGAAGAAGTCTGTTAGCAACACAAACAACAGAGGAGATAGAATGCAGCCCGATTTTATGCCAGTGTCCATATTTATTCACCCTGCAATGCTGTATTGTAAATAGAGCTGGGTGAACTTTTTTGGACAAATGGTTTATTCACTGAAAAATTTAGTTTTGGTCAGCCCAAAGCTATTAACAAATCTAACACAAAATGTTTTGGTTGACTTCAAAGCTACTTTTAGATTACTTTTTTGATTCACTGAAAATTTGAAAAAGTTCAGATTCGGTTTGACCTGACCATTTTTTTTTCCAGAACCATCAGCAGTCTGGAACATTTTGTTATTTGTTGAGCTCTAATTGTAAACATTGCTTAGGGATCTAATTGTGAACACAGAAAATAGTGCTGAACTAAATTAGGACTGATCTACATGTTAGTGGGAGATGTGATGTGGATTTTTTAGCTGACTTCAAGCAGAAGGTTGAATCCCTGTTTTCAGACTGTCTACTCAAACAGTGCCTCGGATGCTTGCTTTGTTGTAGCTGTTTCTTTAAAAATCAGCTTTTTTCCTCAATGTGTAACGTTTGTTCTGATTCATTCTGGAACATATTTTGGGAATTCACAGGATTATCACCAGGGCTACTACTATCAGTCCGAACACATGCATGTCTTATTATCTCATCCAACATTTCCTGTGCACATTCAGTTAGTAGAGAGGATGAGAAATGCTGCCATCACTACTGGCAGTGCTCAATAAATATTATGACTGTCTTTTCAGTGCTGCAGCAGCCAGTGCTAAGACTATAATTCAAAATTTATAGTCTTTTTTTCCCCTATTGGACTGTATCCTGGCCCTGAACAACTCTAAAACCCCAAAGAGGGAACATGTTACTCAAACATAAACTGAGCAGATTAACCAAATGAATTTTCAGGACCTGTGAAATGTGTACATGTGGTGGTAGCCAGTGTTCTCTTTTTGTGACCTTAAATATTAATTTTTGAGACTTTTATCTGGGAAGATAAGACAGATGCATAAAAAAGAATGAAAAATTTAAATTACATCTGTCAAGGAAACTGGTGAAATTAATTTTCTAGTATTTCTAAAAACATCCGACTGAATATTTTTAGCATTTTTAAATTAATTTATACCAAATAAAAAATAAGATGATGTAAACCTGATGTTTTCTGTTCCCATCATAGGTCCTGTGGACAGCTGTGGAAAAAACATAGGAGACGTCATAATCAAATATACATTTGCTGGAGCAACAAACCTATTCAGGAAAGAAGAGGTAGCTTTCCGATACAGTGAAATTTAACCCAGGCCCCATACGATTAGATAGTACTGGTATGACTAGAGTGTTAGTTCACCATAAAAATTCACCTCTGTGAAGTCCACACTCATTCTCCCACACAGGCCTCCTCTTCTAATGTAAGTAGTTATTAGGGATGGGCTTACTCAGAGGTTGAGAACTACTTCTGGTATGTCTGCAATGTAATTGGGAGGTGTGATTTGCAGCACAGGTAAGCATACCCATGCTAGCTTTGATGTAGATAGCTCACTAAGAATAGCAATGAAGTTGCAACAGCCTGGGTTTGCAGCACAGGCTAGCCATCCAAGTCTGTACCCAGGCTCTGGTTGCAGTTTAGAGATACCCTGTGGAGAAAGCCTACTGGCCAGTATGACTAAGACTCCCTGTGTTGGGGTGTACTGGGCCCTTTGATGACCCTTGCTGAAAGACTTGCGGTCCTACCACACGCCACCCCAGAAAAGGAGCAGTGAAGGTGGGTCCTCCAGGCCTGCCTCGAGAAGCTGCAGGGAAACAGCCAATCCGAGCAGAGCAGGCCCAGTTGAAAAGGAGCTACAGGGCCTGAGCAGATCAGTTGCTGGCTGGGACCAGAAGGGTGAGGAAGGACTGGAAAACAGTGAGACTCTCCAGGTGAGGAGGCCTTCCTCAAGCAGGAAGCAGACAGAGAAGAGGGAGGGGTGATGTGGGAAGTGGCCCAGGGAATAGCAGCAGAAACTATTATAGCAAGCAGAACATGGCTGATATTTTTAGGGTCCCTGGGTCAGGACCTGGGGTAGTGGGTGGGCCTGGGTCCCCTAACCAGCCACTGGCAGGGTTGTCTAAGCCCCAAGAGGGGATAAGGCTTGATTAGAGGCCAAAGTGAAGGGTAGGACCTAGAGTCTCCAGGGAGGAAGCCCTGGGGTCACTGCTCTAGACTTAAAGCTAGCCCAGAAGGGGCTGAGGACTGAGTCCAGAGACCGGGCTAAATGGTAATGGGCACAGGCCCCGTTGGACCTTTTACCACAGAAGTGTTTCCTTCAGGTGTTTAGAAAATGGGTAACTTAGTCAGAGGGCTGAGCCAATGAAGACCCGCCTGATGCGGGCAACTGCCAACAAGAGGTGACAGAAAAGGAAAGAGTGCAGGTTTGCACCCAGCCAACAGGAAGCACTCATGAGAGGTGTGTTCCCCCAGTCACACCCCTCCAGAATTAAAAGGAGTAAAACAGTAGTGTAGTTTCAGTTGTGTATGTAGCACCATTAAAGGTTAGTGCTAGGTCTGTATCCTAACCAGCTTCTGCACAAGTGTGCTAGTTGGAGAAGAGGTTCCCAGAACACACACACTCCTCTCTCTTTCCACCCATAGCAGTGCTTTTGTACAAGATAGACCTAAAATGAGCTGGAAGATTTAAGAGTTGAGTTTTTATATCTTTACTATCCTTCCCACCTTGTGGAAGTTTTTATCTCTCAGTCACAGAGAAACTGGAATTATTGCTGAAAATTAAAAAATAAATCTGAGAATAGGGTTGGGTCTAGACAATAGTCCTCTACAGCCAGCTGGGACAAGTCTAAACTACCTTTCCTGTGAATTCATGGGTATGCTCCGAATTCATTACTCACCATAACCCTCTATGCTATGAAGTACCTGAACTCTTCAGATCCAGCTGTGCCCATCTCTGTTTATGCTTTTTTCTCTTGTTATGAACCTCCTCATTGGTCTTTAAATCTAGGATGATGTTTGCTGAGAAACAACCCCGTTATTCGAGGAACATATGTTCATAACTATTACAAGTCAGGAACATTTGAATAGTCTCCATCTGGCACAAATCAATGTAGAATCATAATAAATGAGAATTGTTAATACTGAGAACTTTGTCTGGAATTGTAGATGTAGCCATTGTTTAAAGTAATTTGTAAAGAACTCTGAAGTTTCAGGATTAGTTCATCCATAAAGGTTTTGCTTGGTCTGTACTTTTTATTTTCAATAATGTATAGAAAATTATAAATTGGCATACCAAAGCAGATCATGTTCTGCCACTTACAGTAACCATATGCTTCTAAGAATGGTGCAAGAAATCCTCAATGGACAATTATGGAATAATCTGCCTGTGAGGAAAAGTTACTTCAAAATCGCTGGGTGTGTTTTAATCCACTGAAAGTTGCCTTTAGAGAAAGTAAAAATAACAAACACAAAATTAGAATATACTTCAGTAAAAACAGGCAATACTCATACACCAAATCAGCATTATTTGTAAACATATACTGTAAAACCCTCACTGTCCCTTGAGTATACAAGATGCATCCAACATCCATGAGGCCATATGGAGACACTGCATTCATTTAAACAACTAGTGCACAATAAAATTATGTTGTCCTCTAAGTGCAAATTGTTTATTCAGGAGAGTTACACCTTTTTTTTTTCTAAATTAAAATAAAAATACAGTCACTTTGCTACACTGAGATTTTTTTCATACAGTATCTCAGAGAACCATTGGTATCTCCCATAGCTGTCAACTAATAGAAATTCTGAAAAAAGATAAACTCTTTCTGTGATAGTTTAGCCAGTGTTCTTTGGGGTTCACTACTAGTCATTCCATAAGAAGTAGAAAATGTAAGGGATGCAAACTCTCGTGCTTGTTTTGACTCTGAGCATATTAAAGCTTTGCTGTGAAAGTGTTTCTAAGCCTTCCAAGAGTTTCCTTGGGTGTATTTCTAGTTTATATTGAGATGCATGCAATACTTTGAATGCATGGGAGGGGGAATGCAAAAATGAAGATAATTACAGAAGCTGGTCCGTTTTTATCATTTTATCATGAGTTATAGTTGTACTGGTACATTCTTTCCAAACACGGGGTTGGTATTGCTGTTTTCTAGTTAACTCTCCTTTCCCCATTTTATTTAATTTATAGTAGAATTTCATCTGACATTTGGACTGCAGGGATTTCACTTCTTGAATTACCCTTCCCACTCAGTCTCAAGGGGGATCATTTTTAACAAGAGAAAGATGCCATCTTTGGTGAGGGGTGCGTGCGGGGAGGGTGCAGGAGGCAAAAGGTCAGAATTACAGAGTAAAATCGTATAATGTTCACTATGAAAATTGCATAGATGAGTTCTGGGTGGTTGACCAAGTTGGTGATGCAATACAGAGCCTTTCATTTCTAAGTTACAGCTTCCAATACAGTCTATTGTATTCCAATACAGTCTATTTCAGCAGTGATCCAAGCCATTGGGTGTTTGGTCTGTGTGAGTTCAGTGGTGTAAGTTCTTGGGGGACATATGCCTGTTCAAGTGACCCACCATCACAACTGGTACTAATTACAAGTTTTGGAACAGAGACCAAATGGGCATGGAGACTTAGCTACTCTTTTACCCCTTCAGGTCCATCTAAGACTGGGTAGATAGCCACTGGTGGGCTATTCTGCTCTTCATGCTGTAAGTGTGGATACAAGCAGGACTTCAGTCTCCAGCCCTCTCAGACCCTGACCTTTCACAAGCACTATGCTGAGGAAGTTTAAAAGAAGGGGACAAAAATGAATCTTACATGTAATTTGACAATTTGTCCTTGTGTGATCTCTACTTGCTCTATTTTCTTAGTTCTGCCACATATAGTTGATATGTTTTCTTATTTCTAGAATCCTAAAGGTATCTCAGTTTGACTTGTCATCTCATTAATTTCTTTCATCTACTTTAGACAGAGAATGTTCTCTGACTTGGCCTTGTTATGTGTCTCTCAATTTTAAATTGCTACTTTTTGGATTGTTTTGATTTAGTTCCTGTATGCTGCAAGGCATCCAGGGAAAATAAAGCAGAAAGGCTTCAATTTGCTAAGGCATATGGGCCAAAATGCCTTTTCAAACCCTATATGAATATCCTACCAGGCATGTGTGTAGGTACGCTCTTCGTTGAACAGTTCTTGCTGCAACTCCACAGAGAATCACTGCTGGCTTGCAGTACAGAAACACATGAATGAAGTGTGGAAAATTTCATAACTCTCTGATATGCAACATGCTTGAGTTGCTTCATAATGAACATTAACAACCAATACAGAGTATTACATATATACAAAATAAGCAGAGAATGACTTCCAGCTGAAGCAAATTTGGCATAATTGTTTTGGCTTGATAAGGCAGGGACTCCCTAGTCACTCAATGGGTGGAGTTGCACTCATTGAACATAAGATGTCAATTTTAAAGTCTTGGGTGATATAATGTCCTGCAGTGATTCCATCTTGGGCTGGGGTCTTCTCAGATGGTACAGTTTAACCTGGACAGCAGCTGGAGTGAAAGACTTCCAGAATCTAGGATGTTTCAAGAAGCAATATTAGTGATTCAGAGGGAGATGCTCTTCCAACTGAGTCAGCAGTAAACTCATTGACCAAGCATGAGATTACAGGATGCTTTTTGTTGGTGAGGTGTTTGTTGTAGGATCAGATATAAAACAAACCTCTGACTTATTTGTAATCATTACAAAATCCAGAGGCAGATGGCTTTCAAGAAAGGAGTATTAAAAGGAAATATACACTGGATAAAATTTTCAGAAGTGTAAAAGTGACTTAGGATCCTACACTAGATTGCTTTTCAATGGGTCTTAGACTCCTAAGTCACGTTGTCACTCTTGAAAATTTTACCTGTTACTTTTTTTCATATTAATTTTTAGTCCATAGGAAACAATGTCAGTTTTAAGACAAAATAGTGCTTTTGTATTTTTCTCTGACCCTGCTTAGCGTATGACATCTGACAGGGTCATAGCGTAAAGACATATGGCTGTAGACTATTGACCCAAACCATCAGTGACTTGGAGGACAGTATTAATACAGCACAATACTTTTAGGCTGCCAAATCTGAGATATCCTTACATAAGGGGATGTGAACCATTCCACTGTGTTGCAGTATGTCCTCATGGTACACAACAATACCATCCCACTGTTATCAGATGAGGAGAACCATATTCCTAATGCAACATGTTTCCATCTTCCCTAGTCTAAATATTAGGGCTGTCGATTAATCACAGTTAACTCATGGAATTAACTCAAAAAATTAATTGTGATTAAAAAAATCATGATTAATCGCAATATTAATCACACTTTTAAACAATAGAATACCAATTGAAATTTATTAAATATTTTGGATGTTTTTCTACATTTTCAAATATATTGATTTCAAATACAACACAGAATACAAAGTGTACAGTGCTTACTTTATATTTATTTTTATTACAAATATTTGCACTGTAAAATGATAAAGAAAAGAAATAGTATTTTTCAGTTCACTTCATACAAGTACTGTAGTGCAATCTCTTTATTGTGAAAGTGCAATTTACAAATGTAGATTTTTTTTGTTCTATAACTGCATTCAAAAATAAAACAGTGTAAAACTTTAGAGCCTACAAGTCCACTCAGTCCTACTTCTTGTTCAGCCAATTGCTAAGACAAACAAGTCTGTTTATATTTATGGGAGATAATGCTGACCGCTTCTTATTTACAATGTCTCCTGAAAGTGAGAACAGTTTGCATGGCACTTGTGTAGCTGGCATTGCAAGGTATTTATGTGCCAGATATGCTAAACATTTGTATGTCCTTTCATGCTTCGGTCATCATTGCAGAGGACATGCTTTGAAGCTGTTAAAACAATAATGTATTTATTACATTTGTGACTGAACTCCTTGGCAGATAATTGTATGTCTCCTGCTCTGTTTTACCCTCATTCTGCCATATATTTCATATTATAGCAATCTCAGAGAATGACCCAACACACGTTCATTTTAAGAACACTTTCACTGCAGATTTGACAAAACGCAAAGAAGGTACCAATGTGAGATTTTTAGAGGATAGCTACAGCGCTCGACCCAAGGTTTAAGAATCTGAAGAGCCTTCCAAAATCTGAGAGGGACGAGCTGTGGAGCATGCTTTCAGAAGTCTTAAAAGAGCAACACTCCAATATGGAAACTTCAGAACCCAAACCACCAAAAAAGAAAATCAACCTTCTGCTGGTGGCATCTGACTCAGATGATGAAAATGAACATGCATTGGTCGGCACTGCTTTGGATCGTTATCGAGCAGAACTTATCATCAGCATGGACTCTCATTCTCTAGAATGGTGATGGAAGCATGAAGGGACATATGAATCTTTAGAGCGTCTGGCACGTAAATATCTTGCGATGCTGGCTACAACAGTGCCATGTGAATGCCTGTTCTTACTTTCCAGTGACACTGTAAGCAGGAAGAGGGCAGCATGATCCCCAGAAAATGTAAACAAACTTGTTTGTCTGAGCAATTGGCTGACCAAAAAATAGGACTGAGTGGACGGGTAGGCTCTAAGGTTTTACATTGTTTTAGTTTTGAATGCAGTTTTTTTTGTACATAATTCTACATTTGTAAGTTTAACTTTCATGATAAAGAGATTGCAGTACAGTACTTGAATTAGGCGAACTGAAAAATACTATTTCATTTGTTTCTTTTTTACAGCACAAATAATTGTAATAAAAAAATATAAATTGAGCACTGTACACTATGTATTCTGTATTATAATTCAAGTCAATATACAGTATCTGAAAATGTAGAACACATCCAAAAATATTTAAATAAATAGTATTCTATTATTGTTTAACAGTGCCATTAATCATGCAATTAATTGATTAATTTTTTATCACATGATTAATCATGATTATTTTTAATCGCTTGACAGCCTTACTAAATATATATACAAATGCTGTAATGCTTTAAAATTCTAAAATAATATTGACTGTGTCAATTTGGGACAAAAGTAGGATTTTCATTAATCTCATGACAGGTATTTATTTTATTTAACACAGAAATACTTCTATGTAATTTTAAAGTTATTTGTAATATCTGTAATTAGCAAGCAGGTGACACAGTCAAGGTAGTTCAAATTAAGTAACATATATTGTTTTTTATTTATAAAAAGATGTTCTAATTTTAAAATTTGAAAAACAAGTTTTCTTCCATGTCAAAGTTTATTTGTGTGTGGATTTTGTGTGGCAATGCTTCTTGGGAACTCTGGGAGCATGTCTGTGTCTGGAACACCTTGTTGTGTACAGACAGCCTTGATTATACAGCATGTGAACAAAATTAAACTTAGGATCTGCCTGAAGGCAAGAGGCAGTCTCAGGGGAAGATAGCAGCCAAAAAGTCTTGGAACCCCTTGCTGGCTGATTCTCCAAATTACAGTTCTGTCAGACTTTATTGCAGGGCTTTCCCTACAGTACTTCATGATATTGTTCATGTATGGGTATGGCAGCCTCATTAGAGGAAGTCCCTCTGGACAGCTTCACATTTAACTAAATTATTCCTCAGAATGACTTTCACTTTAAAGAGGGCAGACACCTCATTTCATTCAGAGAGTATGTGTGGATGGGGAGTTGAAGGAGTATGAGGTAAAGGGATGAAGTAATTGATCTGGGATCCAGATTCTAATGAGTATCTAATACTCCCTGCAAAGTTGGAGGAATTCTCTCCAAAACTTTATGTTAGAGGGACGACCTCCACCAGGTCTTGCAGAAGATGATGTCTGTGTGGCAGGCAGTGGTATGAGAGGGGCATAATCCTGGACAAATTGCATAATTCAAGTCCTGTTTTTAATAAATGGCTGAGGATTTGGCTGCCTGAAACAAGTGGATAAAT